TGATGGAATGCAAAGTTTTGTTTTGGAAAACCCAACATCCGGCAATATTATGGCATTCACAGCGAACTTCAAGGCAATATTATGGCATTCACAGCGAACTTCAAAGATTCATATTTTTAAACAGTTTTCAATTTCTTGTTGTTTCTTCTTATTTTACAATCTGGTGTTTATCTGATACAATTTAAGTCATTAGATTTGAACTCAACTTCATAAGGATCAAAGTATCGAGACTGCAATGACGTCATGATATCGAAAAAAAAAAGCAAAAGAACTTTGTCATCTGAAGCCAACTGTCTGAATTTGGCCCTTTTAACGGAACACATTTCAATTTCAGAGTTATACGCTTTTAAATGAGATTTAGATTGCTAGTGGCATTAATGTTTTGATAGTGGCATTAATGTTTCTATGACAAGTTTTAAGAAATTATCCACAAGCCCTTCAAAGAGAGGCCGCCACATCAACATAATCTTTAAAAAAGTTGAAGTGGGTCACGAACCGTTGTGCCAAACACCAGTTCAAAGGGGCTGAATCCAAGTTGTTCTTGAACTGCTCGTCTGGCGGGGCACAGTAGAATATTGATTCCTTCTTCCCAGTCTTTCTCCTTTTCTTGGCAAAACGTTCTCATCATGATCTTTAACGTCTGCTGGAATCGCTCAAGTGCTCCCTACGACTCACGATCTTTAACGTCTGCTGGAATCGCTCAAGTGCTCCCTACGACTCACGATCATATGCACTCGACAAGCAGTCTGCGATTTCTTGTTGGTTCATCTCTTATTTAAAAAGTCCAGCCTTAAATTTGGTTCCTTGGTCAGACTGTACAGACATCGGAAGACCAAACACAATACACACTTTTTCAAGGCTTTGACGATGGGAGGAGTCTTGGTATTACAAAGAGAAATAGCTTCTAGCAGTCGTTTTGACCCACACATGATTGTCAACAAATGTCGTGTCCTAAATTTGTCTTTGTCAGAGGTCCAACGTGGTCTCATGACACGAGTGAAAGGTTCTTCAAATGCTTGAATCATTTGAGGAGGAAATGTTGGTATCTTTTGATTTGGTTTGTCTACTACTTGAAAATAAGGCCCTTATCACTACAACGTTCTTTATTTTTGGCCAAGGCAGTGTGACGTTATTTTGTGATAAGTCTTATTTACTCCCACATGGCCTGAAAGTGGTGAGCCATGAAACTGGTGAATCATTAAAGTGGTGAGTCATGAAACTGGTGAGTCACGAGTCATGAAACTGGTGAGTCATAAAACTGGTGAGTCATGAAACTGGTGAGTCATGAAACTGGTGAGTCATGAAACTGGTGAGTCATGAAACTGGTGAGTCATGAAACTGGTGAGTCATGATTGTGGTGATGCATTAAAGTGGTATGTCATGAAAGGGTTGATCTATGAGTTAAGTTCGGCACCTCATTCCTGAAAGATGTAGGCACTACTATTAGCCAAATATTCCTTAATCTCAATGAGCAGCTGTGTCTGGGAGTCACCATTTTCTCATTGGTGTGTCCACTTTTAAGCAGTAGCATACAGGTACATGTTCCGCTTCCTCTTGGCTCAACGCGTTCTCTCGAAGCTGAGCAATTTATGGACCACTCTTTTGCTCTTCAATAAACTGCATGATACAGTTAGTTTTTTCTTCTGTACTCAAATTTGTATTTGTATAGAAAGGATTTGTATAATTCAATTAAATATTGTTAGTGTGTCACTAGCTTAGGTATTATTTTCTTTTCATACACCCTTTCTCACACCTTTGTGATGTGTTGTTTATTATGCGAGCCAAAGTTATCTTAACACAGATGGAATCTTCAAAACCATAACGTTGCGTAAAACAATTTGGGAGTTGGGGGGGGGGGGTTGCCCGCGATTTGTGACAATTTTTATTACGTAGAAAAACAACACATTATTTTCACTTGACATTTACAAATACCAATACCAGAGTTAGTTTAGTTATCTTAACACTGATGGAAGCTTCAAAACCAGAACGTTGCGTAAAACAATTTGGGAGTTGGGGGGGGGGTTGCCCGCGATTTGTGACAATTTTTATTACGTAGAAAAACAACACATTATTTTCACTTGACATTTACAAATACCAATACCAGAGTTAGTTACGATTCTTTTTACCAATTTATAACTGTGTCCATTGAGTCACATGTGCTAAAATTAGATTTGATGTAAACAATCCATCAGAAGACAATAAACAAATTTTACAACCTTTCAGTTGAGACATTAGAGAAATGTTCCAGAAAATATATATTTTCCTTATCGAAAAAGTTAGAAATAGTAGTAGCCCATTCTGGTTTAAAAAAAAAACACTGTTAGACATTTTGTCATTGCCCACTTATTGGATGAGGATCTCTTGTCTGAGGATGGTCTGTTCTCTGAGGATAGTCTGTTGTCTGAGGAAGGTTTCGATTGAGGATGGTCTGTTGTGTGTAAAGTCGTTAATACTTAAGGCTTCTGAATGCCGAAGCTTACCGTTAATTGTAAAAAGTTTAGAGAGCTGTTGAAACGTGATGGCCAACTCACGTTAAGTGTCAACGAGAAAAGGAACGACTAATGGAAATATACGGACAAAGGCTTCAATAAACTTCTTCTTATTATTATATTTGAGGGGCCCACGATCAATTTGTTGATCAGTCTGGCTCCTGGTTTAAATTCAGAGTTTGCCTTCTCTTAGATGGGTTGCCATCGAAGGCTAACGAGTCCCATCCACCAGGTGTCCAATAAGAGCTGACACTTTAGCAAAATCTGCAGGAAAATCATCACATTTGTGCGGTCCTTTTTGTTTGTAAGGCACTCATTTTTTGTTGTCAAACAAGTTGTTCTTTGTAAAAGAAAGCTGCTGGACATATCTTTTATTTTTAGGGGTTTCTCTCCAGGGGCAACTGCTTTTACCTTTGTCCAAGTTTGGTTTTTAAGCTAGAGCTGTAAAGCATAGTTTACATTGGCAGGATTTTCTCCATGGTTCTCTTCTCTTTGGTGTATCTTAAGATGAATTTTTTTAGGAAAAACTGCAAGACAATAGTTACACTTGTAAGGTTTGTTCTCCAGTGTGCAGATTTTGATGTTCAACAATCTGTGATTTGTAATAGAAAGCAAAGTGGCAAAATTTACAAAAGTAGGGTTTGTCTTCATTGTGTTTACTTTCATGCACTTCTAAAGATGATTTGCGAGGAAAAGATTCAGGACAGACGTTACACCTGAACGGCTTTTCCCCTGTGTGCAATCTTTGGTGATTGACAAGATGAGATTTTTGAGCGAAAACTGTGTTTTAACTTACAAACCTAGTACTGATGGGGGAATTTAAGAATTGTGTTCGCATGGACGTAAGTAAACATATTGCCGACCATGGCAAAGATGATGTGCATAAGGCAGCAGTGTTAGTTGACGACTTCACGATATTGCATCAGACCTCAAAGAGCAAGTTTGACACAACACAAGACAAGCACCATAGAGCAACACTTTCACGTTATAGTACGACTCAAAATAGATCAAACAAGTATGTAAAAAAAATAATCATGTCTAAGAGACATCTATGCTGCTATGTAGGACATATTTACGACACTTTCCCCGTGTCGTGAACTCTGGTTGACCACACATTAGTTGGCGTTCGTATTTGATGTGGCCTATTTCCTTTCATCTTAGCAGTTGTTTTCCACAACTATCAACTAAAAATAACTAACATATTCAAATAGAATTTTGGGGAAGCTTCGATAATTGACTAGAAAGATAAACGATGTAGAAGACATTTCTAGAAGCGTTGGTTCTACCGACGCATAGATATTGAAGGCTGTTAGGGACTTGAGTGTATAGTGTGATTGCGTGTTGGTTTGAGATGATGTGTGTTGTTTTATCTATTATTCTTAGTATCTTGTGACGTATTGTGTGGAAAGGGATTTGACGTATTATTATTGTAGATTTGGGCGTGGGGTGTTGTTCTTTGATTACAGTAACGGCAGTTGAAGAATGAGTTGATTAATAAAGAGATTTCATCTAAGAATTATAGTTGTGAAGTGTATATAATAAAACCCTAGACAACGAAGCCAACGAACCTATTGAGTAAGAAGAGGTTTGTAAGAAAGGGGATTCAGAGATTCATCGACTGAGATTGATAGAGAAATATTTGTTTAACTTCACGAGACAAGTTTATTATTTTTTGTGCACTCATATATGTGTTTATTCGCATTCATCATTGTACCTTATTTTTGTGGCACATTGTACTAACTGTGTACCGGTACAAGACATTCTCATACTCTGTCATTTGATGATTGTAATTATATATATTTTTTCTTTGTAATTATATTAATACTTAAATAAATCTTATTAATTGTAATTGGTACTGTTTTTGAGTGTCGTATCGTTACTATTGTATTTCTCTATGGTATCATCCTTTGTTAGGCACTGTTTGAAACGAGCCATAAACTTAAAATGGGAGATAAAATTCTCTTTATAGAAGGCAGTGGGTAACACCTGCAAACAAGTATGGCACTAGAGAAACATCTCCAAAAGATACCTGTGCCTGTAGTAAAAAGTAAGGTCATAACAGGAATGCTTGTTGGACACTCATGAAGTAAAGTGAGAGAATCCCACATCCTTGGGAACCGCACAAATTATCATCTTGTTAGCCGCGTCATACATCGGGACAAATAATTGATTGAAAATAGTCCGGTCAGGGAGCAATCTTTGACTTATATTATTAATCAGTCATGATGGCAACCCTCAGTGATGGCAACCCTCAGTGATGGCAACCCTCAGTGATGGCAACCCTCAGTGATGGCAACCCTCAGTGATGGCAACCCTCAGTGATGGCAACCCTCAGTGATGGCAACCCTCAGTTGATTTGTTCATCAATCAGGCCATCTGGCAACCCGTCTTTCACTTGTAATTAATAAACTCATACTAGCAAGTTACCTTTGGCTTATTATTAATAAATCCAGCTGGCGACCCACCTTTGACTTGTAAGTCCACCACATGACGTAATATCTTCTTACTGACGCTGACCTGACATTCATACTTCCCAGCGTCATCGGTTGAGACTCCCTGGATGATGAGGTCCCACTGATTATCCGACATGCCCCGATCCACTGTGATCCTAGGGTCATCAATCCACGTCCGTGTTCCTATAGTCAGTGGGTTCTTGGCTGTGACCCTGCGCCACACAACCTGGTGGACGATATACTGCACCATATAGTATACCGCCTCCTACTACATAACACAACATATAACATACAAACTGCTGTAAGGCATAATACATGCTATGTACAACCTACTGCATACAACATGTGTGCTGGAACTATGTTTTCTATGGTTCTGGGCTTCCTACACATTAGTCACGGAGAACACAATTTTCTGGCCTCTATAAGACTGATGGGCTTCCTACACATTAGTCACGGAGAACACAATTGTCTGGCCTCTATAAGGCTGATGGGCTTCCTACACATTAGTCACGGAGAACACAATTGTCTGGCCTCTATAAGGCTGATGGGCTTCCTACACATTAGTCACGGAGAACACAATTTTCTGGCCTCTATAAGGCTGATGGGCTTCCTACACATTAGTCACGGAGAACACAATTTTCTGACCTCTATAAGGCTGATGGGCTTCCTACACATTAGTCACGGAGAACACAATTGTCTGGCCTCTATAAGGCTGATGGGCTTCCTACACATTAGTCACGGAGAACACAATTTTCTGACCTCTATAAGGCTGATGGGCTTCCTACACATTAGTCACGGAGAACACAATTGTCTGGCCTCTATAAGGCTGATGGGCTTCCTACACATTAGTCACGGAGAACACAATTGTCTGGCCTCTATAAGGCTGATGGGTTTAAAAAGGGATTCACATTTATTTGTTGCCTTGCTACCCATTTGATTATTGCCTAACTTCACATTTATTTATTGCCTAGCTACCCATTAATTTATTGCCTAACTTCACATTTATTTGTTGCTTAGCTCCCCATTTGTTTATTGTCTAACTTCACATGTATTTATTGCCTATCTACCCATTAGTTTATTACCTAGCTTCTCATTTATTTATTGCCTAACTTCAAATTTATGATTGCCTAGTTACCCATTTTTTATTTCCTAGCTTCCCATTTATTTATTGCCTAACTTCACTTTTCTTTTTGCCTAGATTCCCAGGAATTAGAGAATGAGAATGCTAGCACTGAAATGTTAGCAATGACATGTTGGCACTGACACGTTGGCACTGGCATGTTGGCACTGACATTTTAGCACTGACATGTTCTATTTACTGCCTTGAAAAAATAGGTTTCACATTCACAAACAATATGTGATTGTGATGTTTTCATATCATTATCTCTAAACAATTCTGCAATGAGAATACAGTCTGTTGGTTATTTCCCAAACAATCTAATCTGGCCTATGAAAACATTCTCTCCTACTTGTATGTAATCATGTTCCCTTGCTTAAAGAATGTACACACCTTTTATAGTCGTGTTCAAGGCCCCCCCCTCCAAATTAACAACATGCACAATTTGTAGTAAGACAATAACAACATACACAATTTTTAGTGAGCTAATAACGACATACAACATGAGCTATAAAAAGATTGTTGTGGACATTTACAAAAAGATTGTTTGGACATTTATAAACCAGAATGTTGTGGACATCTTAACAAGATTGTTGTGGACATTTATAACAAGATTGTTATGGAGATATTTAAAAAATATTTTTGTGGACTTTTGTAAAATAATTTTTGTGGACATTTATAAACAAGAGTGTTGTGGACATTTATAAACAAGAGTGTTGTGGACATTTATAAACAAGAGTGTTGTGGAAATTGATAGGAAGATTTTAGTGGACATTTATAAAAAGATTGTTGTGGACCATTATAAACAATATTGTTAAGGATATTAATAAAATAGATTTTTGTGAAAATGTATAAACAATTTGTTGTGGACATTTATAAACAAGAGTGTTGTGGACATTTATAAAAAGATTGTTGTGGAATTTATTAAATATTGTTGTGTACTTTTATAAACTATTGTTGTTGATATCTTAACAATATTGGAGTGGATTGTTAAAGATTGTTGTGGACATTGATTTAAGATTGTTGTGGACATTGATTAAATATTGTTGTGGACATTTATTAAAGATTGTTGTGGACATTTATTAAAGATTGTTGTGGACATTTATTAAAGATTGTTGTGGACATTAATTAAAGATTGTTGTGGACATTTATTAAAGATTGTTGTGGACATTTATAAAAAAATTGTTGTGGACATTTACCAAAATTTTTAATTTGGTTGTTATTAGTTTATAATGTTGGTGGCTGTGGGTAATTAGGGGGGTGGGGAAGTCGTGGGTTGGTTGGTTTTGGTGGTGGGTAGGGGAGACACAACTAAAACTTGAAAAATACAATGTGTGCAGTAGATTGCCTGTTTGAAATGTTATGAAATTTGTTAAAGTTTAAGTTTGAAATTTTGAATTTTTAAACTAAAATCTTTATTCTTTTGGATGAAGTCTTTTGACTCACAGTTCTCTCCCCTAGGTGTTTAACAGAGCAGTAGAGTCTGGCCTTGTCTCCCTTTTTCTGGGTTATTTTAGTGGGCACGGCTTCAAACTCTGGAAGTCGAACTCGTACCGCAGGGAGCGCGATGCACGCTGGAAAAACAATAGAAAAATAATCTAGAGATCACAGATAGAGTTCAAATGTTAAATATAATTACACACATATATATATTATGTATATATAAAGATATATATCCACTTCCACCCGGAACTAGACAAAATGTAGTTTAAGAACCTGAAGTGTATCATATGTCCGTAGCTGTTAACAGATGGATCTAACTTATCAATCAAAAGGTAAACTATATGACCTCAATAAAGTTGAGAGAAATCAAAGGATGATTCCTACCTGTAGCCACCTGTTCACAGGTGCCACATGATTTCAAAGAGTATTAAATCATTGTGTACACACATTTTCAACATAATGAGTACATGAGTAATGAGGAGATCCCCTGGGTCGTCACAAATAAATAAACGTAACATGAAAAATGTGTTTGAGTTGCTGCATGCAATAACTAACACATTTCTCTTGGGTGCAAGTTTTATTCTTAAAATGCGCAACAATGTCACAGTTGACTAATTTGGTGGTAAATATTTAGGAACAAAATTATTCTTATTTTTTAAAATCCACTAATACCTATAACTACCTTTATATTACTTTTGGGTAATACCTATAACAACCTTTATATTTCTTAAGGGTAATACCTAGAACTATCTTTATATTACTTAAGGTAATACCTATAACTACCTTTATATTACTTAAGGGTAATACCTAGAACTACCTTTATATTACTTAAGGGTAATACCTATAACTATCTTTATATTACTTAAGGGTAATACCTATAACTATCTTTATATTACTTAAGGGTAATACCGATAACTACCTTTATATTATTTACGGGTAATACCTATAACTACCTTTATATTACTTAAGGGTAATACCTATAACTACCTTTATATTACTTAAGGTAATACCTATAACTACCTTTATATTACTTAAGGTAATACCTATAACTACCTTTTATATTACTTTAGGTAATACCTTTAACTACCTTTATATTACTTAAGGTAATACCAAAACTACCTTTATATTACTTAAGGTAATACCAAAACTACCTTTATATTACTTTAGGGTAATACCTATAAGTACCTTTATATTACTTAAGGTAATACCTATAACTACCTTTATATTACTTACGAGTAATACCTATAACTACCTTTATATTACTTAAGGTAATAACTATACCTACCTTTTTATTACTTAAGGGTAATACCTATAACTACCTTTATATTACTTAAGGGTAATACCTATAACTACCTTTATATTACTTAAGGGTAATACCTATAACTACCTTTATATTACTTACGAGTAATACCTATAACTAATAATGGTTGTAATGTTGCACTTTAAGATAAGTACCATGTTTGTAATGGTGCAATTTAAGATAAGTACCATGTTTGTAATGGTGCACTTTAAGATAAGTACCATGTTTGTAATGGTGCACCTTAAGATAAGTACCATGTTTGTAATGGTGCACTTTAAGATAAGTACCATGTTTGTAATGGTGCACTTTAAGATAAGTGCCATGTTTGTAATTGTGCACTTTAAGATAAGTGCCATGGCTGTAATGGTGCAATAAAAGATAATTGTCATGATTTTTTATGCATTATAAAATAACTTAATAATTGAAATTATAAGATAAGTGCTACGGTGAAGGGTGCACTTATAAGATAAGTGCCATTATTGTAATGGTGAACTATAAGATAAGGGACATTCATGTAATGTACACTCTAGATAAGTGTCATGCTTGTAATAGTGCACTAAAAAGTAAGTGAACTGGTTGCAACGAGCACTTTAAGATAAGTGTCATATATGACTCCCCTAGTTTTAATGACATGACTTATTATCCAGCTAAGTCACTCCCTGGCTATCCCACCCACCTCTATAAGATAGGTGTCATTATATGACTCCCTTCATTGTAATGACATGACTTATTATCCAGCTAAGTCTCTGCCCCGCCAACCCACCCCAGTTCCAATGCGCCCCACCCCTCTCCCCCTCAACTTTAAAAAAATCACGCCAACTCATTTGATCACAGCTTTAAAATTATCTCTCACTATATATTATTTTATTTTTCATTCCATTTATTTCAGATACTTTTTTTTTTATATCTGCCATTTTTTGCAAATGCCATGGGCAGCTGACAGCTAGACGTTCAATCCAGTGTGTTCTGATCTAAAAGCCACCTGCAGCAATTCCAGGTACCTCGCCATCCGTACGCAGCATATCCTCAAATTTCATTAAAATGACATCAATAAAATAAGTTTCTTAGCTGCGGGTAGTTTGCTATCTCTACAGGACCTGTCAGCCCTATTATGTCTTGATTTAATCAAACCATTTATTCGGATGGATCTGTTATTTAGAAAGTTGTTTTGACCAGGATGGTTAGAGATGCGTTCAGGCACTGGTTTGTTCAAGCTGTGGATGTTCAAGATGAAATATCGACAGAGGGAGGAAATTTCTTCTTCAAAGTTTAGCAAAACGTATCAAACTTCTAAATTCATGTTTTGTTTTGGTTGCTATAGAGTTCATATTAGGAGGAAAAATGGGTTTTTTACCAAGTTTAGACTGTTGGGAAAATGGGTTTTTACCAA